ACCGATCATACAGCGTCGGTCGTTTCGGTAACGATTGGTTAACCTATTTTTCAGGAACTGCGTTTCTTAACTACATAATTTTCAGGAATTTTTCATTTACGGGACACCTTAACCGAAACTAAACCAACCAAGTTGACTTAAGGTTAACTATAATTTGTACTTTGGAAGCTACCTACCAGATGGCGCGTTAAAAATGCACTGTTGTTTGATCTGTGGCACATGACTCAAAGCAGTCAAAATCGTAAGTATTTTAAAAGAACAAACAAATATTTCATTAGTACGCCACTGTTGGAAAAAAAGAAATGCAACCGCGTAGCAATGGCGAGCAGGTAGCGTAAAATGATGGTGATATCGGGAGCACAATAATAAATAGAAGTAAATATGCAGGCCCGAGGCAAAGCAATACATTTACAAATTACGATACAGATACAGTAGCATTCCACTAGACGTGTAGAGGCGGTTCTTTAATTACTCATTTTATTTTGCACATTGACATCTTTTACTTATTTTGAGGTAAATAATAGGGTGTCCGTTATTTACCAACTTGTTTTTTTTTGTTCGAAGCGCCCCCTAAATTTTTAGTTTATGACCTAAAAAAAATTATTAAAAAAATAACTAAAAAAAATATAAAAAAAATATTCATAATAAACCGTGTCACAAAGAAGATGCATTTTCCATTTAAATAACATAGTGTTTCGGCAAGTTTAACATTTAATTTTTTTTCTCCCAAACAAGTTAATATACAGCAATAAGAGACAAAAATTTGAAATTGAACGCTGTACAAGAAAGCTTTCCTATGATTTTTTCATAAATTCAATGATTTAAAAGTTATTTAAGGTTAAAGTTAAACTTATAGTAATTTTTTCGATTTTTTTACTTTGACTTATTTTTATGAAAATGAATTGTTTATTTTTGAAAATATGAGATTTTGTTGTAGTATTGCAAAAATAAAAATTATTGAAAAGAGATAAGTAAAATTATTGACAAGAGATTTCGATAAATTCAATTTTTTTATTACATTAAACGAATCTACTAGTTTTACTCAATTTTGGTACGATTACTTTTTTACATAATCTTTTTATTTCTGTGAAATTCTACAAAATTTTATACGATTTTATAAAATATTATACAATAAAAAGTTTTCCTTCAGTACAGCTAATTACGTAGAAATTATTTTAACAATTATTTTTACGACAAAATAAAATTCGTAGTTACGTTGTCTTGAGTATGAGATGCTACACCAATTATCCTTTTCTAATAAGTTAAATGTTTTTATCTACTTCTACATTGACGAGCTGTGACTTTATGGGGCTTTAGTCACGGGCTGAAGTTGGCAATAAGTAGTGGCTTCTGGGAATTTTAGTCACAGGCTGAAATTAGCTTTATTATACATTAGAGAAAAGTGAGGTTAATTCCATTGACATTTGACAGATGTCAAATGTTTAACAAATTTAATTGGCTTTAAATTCTTTTTTGTGTTCGTCGTAGATAAAGTATACTTCGTATGCAACTCGCTTTATAAACTTATCTAGACACTTGTTTTTAATAAGCTTCGCTCGTGCCTAATAAAACTTGTAACTGAAATGGCGTTTTGTAAAATTTCACAGAAATAAAAAGATTATGTAATTAAAGTAATCGTTCTACGTTTGAGTAAAACTAGTACCAAATTCTTTTAATGTAATAAACAATTTTTAATTTATCGAAATCCCTTGTCCATAATTTTAACTTATCTCTTTTCAATAATTTTTATTTTTTCAATAATACAATAAAATCACATATTTTTAAACACTAACTAAGTTCAATTTTAACCTTAAATAACTTTTTAAACCAGTGAATTTATCGAAAAATCCTAAGAGAGCTTTCTTGTACAGCGTTCCATTTCCTATAAAAATACATATATCACTTTTTGCTGTATATTAACTTGCTTCAGAGAAAAAAAAATAAATGTAAAACTTGCCGACGGAAAATGTATCGTCTTTGTGGCACGGTTTAAAATGAATATTTTTTGTTATAATTTTTTTTATAATTCCTTTCAGGTCATGAACTAAAAATTTAGGGGGCGCTCCGAACAAAAAAAACAAGTTGGTAAATAACGGACTCCCTAGTAAATAACAAACACACTCGTAATACTAATGGTATCATTTAACTTTTACCTCACCCTCAAAATAAATGAACCTATTAAAAGTGTAATTTTGCTACATTTCTACACAATAAAAAGTTAAAAATCAATCAAGACTTTTAACTTGATTTTTCCACAACACATTTCATTTGCAGATTCCTTTCGGGTTGTGTTGTTGTCCCAAAGTGGTTCTTTAATAAATTTAACTTTTATTACTATTGCAAAATCAGGTAGCAGGTAGATAGAAAGTGGCAAATCAATGCCTGTAGACATGCACTAACTAGATATTAATAAAAAATTATTTGATTATTCTAACGAACATGTATTCAATAAATTGGTTTCCTCACAATAAAGAAGAATATTATTTATTCCTATTTAGGATTTATTAACATTCCTTTTATTTAATTTAAATTATCTCTTAAAGAGAAAGATAACATTCAAAGTATTTATTGTTCTCCGGATATCATAGAGCGGCAGTTCAATAATAGAGACTACACAGTGTTTATTTACAGGTCTGTTTTATGTACTCCATCATCGGGCCTAAACTAAACAATTCCATATGTCTAGCAGGATTTATTAGCTGCTTTGTTTCCCCATACGTCCCGTCTCTCAACAAAACCATTAAATTCGCTGTCTTCTTTCTCTGCAGTGGCGTGGGTGTTTTAAAGTTTCTTCTGGGGGTGCCAAAGTGAACGTATACGTAAACTTTCATGATACGCCACTGTTTTCATTTTCTTCAGCATCTTGGAAGATTCTTTTTTAACCGACACTTCACAGAGATCGACAATTTAATTCGGTAGCTTGTATTTATAAAAAGAACTGCTTGTTTTTACTGCACGATTCAACACGTTATTGTTTCTCTAGTCTATACAAATCGTTTTGTTTGTTTTCAATTCATTATTCTGCTATTAATACATGAGAAGGTGACTTAAAAATAGACATACTTATGGGGATAAATATCCAAACAAAATTTTGCTACCAAAACAACACTTAATTAAAAAAAATAATTTTGAATATTTTTATTCATACCTAGTATAAACTTTTTAGTATTATGGAACTCAAAGAATTGGATTCATTAAGGTAAAAGTTGTGTAGGTAGCAAAAATCAATTAAGTGATTAAATATCTTTTAAAAACGATCAAACCTTTTAAAGCCCAACATAATTCATTTTATAGGCGCGATAGAAATGTATAATTACTGGGAAGATTTTATAACAACTTACTGATATAGTAGTAAACACATTTTTTATAACATTACCACAAGCCAATTAAATATTATAGATGTGATATAACCATCCACATTAAGTGCTTAGTTTTAATGACAAATTTGAATACATTTTTTATCTTTTATTGTTGTTATTATCTTTTGGTAGATGGCCATTTATATTTTTACTCTTAAGAGCTGCATCCCAAACTCAATCCAGGCTTTTGGAAGAGGACCTGGATTAGGACCCAGATATCGATAGGAGTACCAGATAAAGTGGATTCAAAAGAGCTTGTTTGGTGCAGACAATGGGACCTACCTGGCGCCCTAAGGCAATCTTAATAATAATAATAAATATGAATTCATAAATTTATTGAGGATTCTTTTTGCAGTATAATATAGGTACCGATAAATAAACAGCTACCTAGCTACGCACTGTTATCTAAAAACTAATGATACAACCTATCAATCATAAAATAATCTTTGTCACATTTTAATTACCGGTTCGGTAATGGCAACAAAACGAGTTGTACAAGCGTTCTATAAAATAATATTTTCTTGATTCAAAGCAATTTGCAATAAATTCAGCTCGCTGTTTTTATAACAACAAATCATTTTCGTTGTTTTATCTGCATCTGCATCTCAATTGAATCAGCGATTACAAGCTACAAGTTAATGTATCTGTCAGGATTTTTTTATCGTTTTTGTGTAACTTTTATGCAGACCGGTAATTAATGTGTTTAAAAGCCATCATACACACAATTGCTATTAAAGATTTTGCTTCAAAGTTATTCCACCAAGTGTACGAGGTTAAGTCGAAATGTTACAAGAAGAGTTCATGTTTCAGGTTTAAGGGCCGGTTTATCAATCTTTGGTCTATCTGACAGTTAAATTCTATATCGATCGTTGTGAGAACAATGGTATCCATGGAGATTATCTGCCAGATAACTAAGTGTAACTTAACTGGACATTGATAAACCCTACTACTTTCAATAGCTCCAAGACCAAGCAATTTCCATTTTGCTAGTACCACCTCTAGACTCCTTTGAAAATAGAAGAGCACATCATTTAGTAAACAATCTATTTAGCCTTAATTCCTTCAACAAGATATAGTTTCGAAGTACATAATTGTATCAAAATTAGTCCTAATGGAGCAGGAAGGCGAGCCAGTCGTAACAATAACTCAGAGAGCGTATCAGGGAACATAGATTCCTTCGAGTGACATTTTGATAAAGTGGAGCGCTACTGTACCGGCGACCGGTAGCCGTAACCGCTGCTGCGCTATCGGACTAATGAACTTGCAAATCTTTTCAGCTAATATAAGAATCGAACGTGCTGATTACTTTTATAAACACGTACAAAGAGATTTTAACTATGGCTTAGTTTGTAAGGTTTATCTGGTCGCCTTAATACCAGCCAATTACCAAGGAAAACGGATTTTAATGGAGTAAAATGGGATGATATATTCTAAAGACCAAATGCATCACATTGCTGGAAAAATTTGGTGAGTCAATATTGGGATGTCCCCCAAGTCCAGTGATTATTTTTATTCAAGTAAGCAGGAACATATATCTGACCTATATGTTTAGGTTTGATCCACCCACGTAAAAAAATAGATTTGACTGACCTTGTATAACATACTATAAATATACAAACTAACAAATATTTAAACTGCGGAAACGGAGCTCAGTAGGATTTAAACTATTCGAGATGAAGTTCCTGTATTTTTTGAGTTTTCTACCAGCATTCTTGTTCAAATCGATTCCCAATGATGATGGAGAACTTGTTCTAATAAGTGTGGTAAGTCATTGTTATATTTTGTTAAATTTAAATACAATTTTTACTTTACAAGAGTTTAATGTATTTTATCTACTCCTACATTGACGAGCTGTAACTTTATGGCGTTTTATTGACGGGCTGAAGTTAACAACAGTGGCTTTTCGACATTTTACCTCACGGGCTGAAGTTAGCTTTATTATAAATTGGGAAAAAGTGAGGTTAAATTCGGGTGACAGTTGACAGATGTCAAAATTTTAACAAATAAAATTGGCTTTAAATTCTGTTTTGTGTTCGTCGTAGATAAAGTATAGTATGCAACTCGTTTATAAACTTCTCTAGACACTCGTTTTTATTAAACACTCGCTCGCAAGCTTCGCTCGTGCTTAATTAACTAAAATGGCGTTTATAAAACTTGATACATAATATACTATTAAATAGTTATACCTATATTTAATTTTATTGAGGCATTTTTAAATATTATTATTAGTGGTAGCACTTGAACATTACAATTAAACTTGGCAACTTTTTTTTAAATAAAATTACGTTAGATTTTCAGGCATGGAGCAAGAACTACAGAATATTTTTACCCCACCGACCCCCACAAAGGAGAATCCTTTTACCCCTATGGCTACGGAAGTTTAACAAACGTAACTACTATTTTTTAACTTGCTTATTTTTGTTACAAACCAACATTTTTTTATTTAGGAAGGAAAAATGGGGGAGTTCAAACTGGGAAAATATCTAAAAGATCTTTATGGAGATTTTCTTGGTGAAGACTACACTGAAAGCAAAGTCTACATAAGATCTACAGATTTTAGTAGAACTAGAACAAGCGCGCAACTAGTAATGGCAGGTTTATTTCCACCTACTGAAAGGCTGACATGGAACCCTGAACTTCTTTGGCAGCCCATACCTGTGGACTATAAGCCCATGATTGAGGAAGATGTAATACAATTAAAATTAAGCAAACTTCCATATATTCCCAATGAATATGTGGAAGGATTTAAAAAAATACTCTATAACATTTGAATTGCTGTAGATTTTTCATAGAAGATTAAATTGCCCCTTTAAAGATAAAGCTTTGGAAGACTTGAAAAACTATGAGGAAATTCAGGAAAACTTTATCAAACCTCATGAAAACTTGTACAAATTCGTGGAAAATATGTCTGGATTGCCCATGGCAGTACCCTCTGACCTACAAGGATTCTTCTTCACTCTAAAATGCGAAGTACTGCAAAATTAACTATTTTATAACCTATTGATTCCATTTAAATTATTTTTAGGATGACATGGGGTACAAACCCCCAGAATGGACAAAATCATTTTACCCCGACAAAATCGAACAAGTTGCTGGGACTGTTTTCAATTTTCAAAATTATATCCATGAAGTTAAAGTAATCAACGTGGGATATATGTTGGAAAAAATATTAAACGACTTCGACAAAAAAATTAATGGAACCATTGTTCCAAAGGATAGACAGGCATTTTTTTACTCTGGACACGAAACTACCATTGGGTATATGCTTAGTGCACTGAATATTAGTCAAAATGGTATTCCCGGTTATGGTACTGCCTTATCTTTTGAGTTGAGGAAGAAGAATAATCAATTTTTTATTGAGGTAATTTTTTTTTTCAAAACCACAAATAGTCAAAATATTTGATGATATCTTTTTTTTAGTTGAGATATAGAGACAGTTCAGATGCTAAAGACTCCATAGATCTAATTTTACCATATTGTAATGATGCATGCCCTTTGGAAGATTTTAAAAAACTAACTAAACATTTGTTACCGACCTTAACCATAGAAGAAGCTTGTAACCAAAATTATAAGTGCATTAAAGAAAACTGCTGAAATAAATATTGTGTCTTCAAAATCACTTATATTCGTAGCTTTTTAATCTCATTTAAAGCGTACATCAAAATATTTATTTATGTAAAAATAAACGTTTTGTCTAGAGCCCCAAAGCGAGACTTCGGTCCTGACTGACGTCATAGTTTTATGTAGCACTGTAAATCGGAATTGTTCCTCGAGCGTTATAAAATTTATATTAGGCTTGTTAGCTCAGATGGTAGGGTGCTCGCTTAGCATGCGAGAGGTACCGGGTTCGATACTTGGCGAATTCATAACTTTTTTATTTTTACTTTATTAATTTACTTAAAAAAAAATACAATGTTTCATTAAAAAGCATTTATATTTAAGTTTACATTAATTTTTTATACTATATTACTTTGTTGGAGAGTTTTGGGTTATGTTGGTTGGTTTGATTTAGTGAAATGAAATCATAAAATTATTACGTCAGTCGCGATCGCTGCAGCCTACTAACATTGCCAGATGCATAATTTATATGCAAGTAACCAGGAATATACATATATCTGAAATTTAATTTTATGTTTAATCCACTTACGTAAAAACTGACCATGAAAAACACTATAAATATACGAAACTAAAAATTATTTAAGAAAGCTGCAAAAAATTTTGAAGCCCAGTAGGTTTTAAACTAGTAGAGATGCGTTTCCTGTATTGTTTAAGTTTCCTACCTGCAATTTTGTGTAATTCGCTTCCGAATAATGATGGGGAACTTGTTCTTCTAAGTGTGGTAAGTATTTTTTCTAATTTAAATGAAATTTGAACTTTTATGTACTGGTAAATAGTATTTTAGTTTAATGGGCAAATCTTGCCACCTATCTTCCTAGGGGACTTTAAGCCCACGGTCCGTTCTTACCCATATCCCGCACAAGTGTTTCAAGTTTGGTCAAAATCGGTTTATAGAGAATGAAACGTTTAAATTATATTTTATATAATTATTAAATATCATTGACGCATTTTCTATTATTAGCACTTGAACATAGTCCAACAATAATAAGCAACTTTTTTGTAAAATAAAATAAATTACCTGTGAACACAATAAAATTTAATTCAATGTTTTTCAAGATTTTTAGGCATGGAGCAAGAAGTACAAAATATTTTTACCCCACCGACCCTTACAAAGGAGAATCCTTCTATCCATATGGCTATGGAAGCCTAACAAATGTAACTGTTATTTTTTAAATTATTATTTTTGTTATAAATAATTTTACTTAGGAAGGAAAAATGGGGGAGTTTAAACTGGGAAAATTTCTGAAAAATCTTTATGGAGATTTTTTTGGTGAAGACTACACTGAAGGCAAAGTCTACATTAGATCTACAGATATTGGTAGAACTAGAACAAGCGCACAACTAGTAATGGCAGGTTTATTTCCACCTAGTAAAAGATTGACATGGAACCCTGAACTTCTCTGGCAGCCCATACCTGTTGACTATAAGCCTTTGGTTGAGGAAGACGTAATAAAATAGAAACAAAAAAACTTCTACATATTCCCAATGAATATGTAGTTGTTTTTTTAACTCTATAACATTTGAATCGCTGTAGATTTTTCATAGAAGATCGAACTGTCCCTTTAGAGATAAAGTATTAGAAGACCTGGAAAACTATGAGGAAATTCAGGAAAACTATATTAAACCTCATGAAAACTTGTACAAATTCGTTGAAAATATGTCTGGATTACCCATAAAAATACCTACTGACCTACACAAATTCTTCTTCACTCTTAAATGCGAGGTATTATAAAATTAACTTTTAAAACCATTGTTACCATTCATATTATTTTTAGGATGACATGGGGTACAAACTCCCAGCATGGACCAAATCATTCTACCCCGACAAAATTAAACAAGTTGCTGGGACTGTATCCGATTTCGAAAATTATATCCCTGGACTTAGAGTAATCAATGTGGGATATATGTTGAAAAAAATATTAAACGACTTCGACAAAAAAATCAATGAAACCATTGTTCCAAAGGATAGACAAGCATTTTTTTACTCTGGACACGATCTTACCATTGGATATATGTTTAGCGCGCTAAATATTAGTCAAAATGGTATTCACGACTATGGTACTGCCTTATCTTTTGAGTTGAGGAAGAGGAATAATCAATTTTTTATTAAGGTTATATTTTTAATGTTTTTATTCGAAATTATTAAAACCACAAATAGTCAAAATATTTGATGATATCTTTTTTAGTTGAGATATAGAGACAGTCCAGATGCTAAAGACTTCATAGACCTAAATTTACCATATTGTGATGATCCATGTCATTTTGAAGATTTTAAGAAACTCACTAAATATTTGTTGCCAACTTTAACAGCAAAAGAAGCTTGTTACCAAAATTATAAATCTATTAAAGGAAACATGCCAAAATAAATAAATGTTGTGTTTTCAAAATAACTGAACCTTTCATTACAAATTTTTGTTAATGTAAAAATAAAACTCAATAAAATACCCTAAACCTGTCAGTGGCTTTTACACGCCCCTTTAATTTAATTTGGGGCCATTAATTTTCTTTGTTTTGGTAACACTAACAATTAATGGTCGTGTTTCCGAAATTTCGTGACTTTTCGATAAATAAATCAGAAAAAAATGCGTGTTTACAACATAGCGAACATACGAACAACTAAAAATAGTCTAGTGAATAGTTTTGTTCACCCACAACTTTGTCACTACAAAAGCATTGTTCTCGACTGTCAGTCAGAAAAACAATTATGTGAATTCATTAGTTTAAAATTAGACAGCACGGGCTGTCAAAACTTATTGTTTTACATCAGTTTTTCTTGAGTTAATTGGCAAAGAAAAATGAAGCTATTTATAGTTTTAATTAGTCGGTACCGCATCAAAAACTTACTGGAAAATTAATGAGATTTATCTATTTTTTATGATTACAAGGAGCTGGAAAAATGGCCTCTTTGAAAAGCAAAAAAACACTAACCCCACTGCCATCTTCTACAATTAGCATCAAACAGGCCATGCAACCTCATTTGTTTGTATTAGTTGCGGAGAATCGAGAAGGCCCCAGCACTTTCAGTATGCAGATCAGGCAGGCCTCGGAAAACGCCATCTCCGGCCGTGATTCTCACTTGTTTTGCAGATTATGAACCAATTAATTTCCGTGCGAGCCGTAATTTATGAAGTCAAGCCCGTCTAATTAGTGACAGGTGGTTTAGTTTGAATTATTATTGTTCTCGACCAAGAGGCTGTTTACCAAAACAACCAATTACGTGTGTAGGTATGCGATGCTATACGCTCGATAGAATCTCAAACAACGCGTTTGGTGAACTAAGTATTCAGTCTGAATGACTATTAATGTCTCTTGATCAGTTGGTCATAAATAAATCGGTTGGGATTAAAAATACAATCGAAAGATGCATCTGAAGCTATTTCAAGAACTCTCTGGTAGATTCCAAAAAACATGACGATGTTCTTGTTTTTATAAAATTGCCGAACAATCTGTATTCTTCCTATTCGCGTAAAACTTGATAAAAGAAAAGGTTGAGAGAATAAAGTATAAAGGGTATTTTACAAACAAAGATAAAGTGTTGATTCATTTCCATCAAGATTGATCTCACGGCATTCAGGGCTGGCGTAAAAAGACAAAGGTAAACAAAAGTGCACTGTACTATTGAAGAAAACCGGGCCTCGACGTTTAAAAACAATGCATCTTGCCCACAAGACGGATTACAATAGCAAACAATGATGATAGAGGCTTTATATATCGAGATGAAACGTAAGAATAAAATAGAAAAGCAAACAGGTAAATGCACAGGGGGGGTAGCAACAAGAACATCTGGATTTTTTAGATTATTAGAAGATTTGCAAGTCTTCATTCTTTTATGACTGTAGATTCTGGAGGTCAAAAAGCTATAGTCCAAAATATTGTTTTCTATTATAGCTTCTAATCATTTGAGCTGATCATCATTTGAGCTTTGCATTTTTATCGATCTTGTTATTATTTTATTTCTTTATTTAGCTTGTGGTCATTTGAGCTCTTAAGAATTTAGGATTGTTGACATTGGATGACCACCATCTCCTTTTAAAAACCATTTTTTTCATTACAATTTTTGTTTTAGTTGTTGACATTGGACTAGGTAAATTTGCAATATGCCCCACTGTGATGGGTAGCAGAGTTGTTTTTATAAAAGGGAAGCGGCCACGGTAGCTGCTCTACCCGTTCAAAAGAATCGCCAACAAAGCAGATTAATGCGTTTTAATACTCACAATCTGACGTGTCATTAATTATGGGTACTCGCTGTGTTCTGGAACATTATATCACCTCTGCACAATGCCACTAAATATTTTATTGTTAACGATCGCGCACATTAACCGAGATTTTAACAGTCATCCTACACAAACATACACATGTCCCACAATCAATTGTTTCAACCATTATACAACTACATTAATTGCTTGTTTTTGTGAACACTCGGTTCTATGGCTCATTCAATCACCAGATACCATCTAAAGGGTGGTGTAAAACATGCAGACCTACCTTAAATTTTAAAAACATTTTTAAATGTTTCTATTTTGTGTAGGATTTTTAGATTAGGTTACTCATAATATAGATGTTCCAATTTGAATAAAAAATTGTAAAACAAGCTTTACAATTTCTAAAACTATAGTTTTCCTACAAAAATATAAAAATTGTTTGTTCTTTTAAGTGTGTCACTTGTTGAAAACAAATCGATTCGTCCTTCTTTCGATACAATGGGCTTGACAAATAGATTTCAAATTCAGACCTGGAGCTTTGTACCGCCTTGTAAAGTAGTTGAAGAGAGGGTGAACAATGTTTCCAATTTACTTTCCATATTGTCCCTCTACAAAAAGCTAGGCAAGGGTTTCGAAGCCATTGTCTTACTCTGGCGGACTAGATTGGACATTGTTTGCACATAAATCAATTTAAAGGTTGTAAGAAGAGTTTTGACTAAAATCAATATCAATATCTACAGGACAAAATAGTTCTCGAAGCGGTTTGTCTCATTGCTAAGCACTTCTTGTCTTAATGATCAACGATGTTGAATTTTGATTTCCATATGCTGTGGAGCGCTGAAATACTTGTGATTTTTTATTGTCTGAGACGAATTAATTCTGCGTCATCCCGTTCGAATAACAAACGACGGTCGGGCAACATAAATAAGAAGAATGCAGAGTGGCACAATCTGTTAGGTGGTCAGTCTATTAGTTGGGAATGTCCGTGGAGCATTGTAGTCGCTGATGGGGACTAATGGCAGTTGCCGATTGCCCTCCAGAGGCCGGCCACAAATATCTAAAACATTTACATTACCCGACTCCTCCGCCACTTTATCTTTTATTTTTTCCACTCTTTGATCCTCCCCTCTCTCCTCTCCTGTCTTCTTTTACAATAAATACAATAAAAAGATAACTTTAATTTAAATCGCGAAGATATTTTTACTTCACCCTGTACCTACATCTTTTTTGTTATGAATCGTTTATTGTCTTGCTGAGACCGCTTTTTATTTAATTGTCCTTTCGTATAACAAAAGGTTTTGTAATAATCTCTAGAGATTCCGGCTGAGCTCTGCGGTTCATTTAGATGGCATTCCATTGGTAAGGAATTTACGATATTGAGTTAATTCTAGGTAGACACACTGTTAAAAATTTATATTGTAATTGTACTAAACATGTTTAGGAAGTTTTTAGGCACCACAATATAGAAATAATACTATACAATACAATTAATTTCAACTTAGTTTAAGAAAATTACAAAATATATTTTACAATTTTAGTGAACTGAAGAAAATTCGTTTCGCAATATTACAATACAAATATTGTTATTTTGTACAACAAATTACACTAAAAATATTTAGTAATTTAAGAATGATGGTATTGTAATTGTACTGCGAAAAAAAACCCTGCAATTTTCTTAGTTTCTTCAAGAAACTTTCTTGACCCATTACTGTAAAGATTAAAAAAATTGAACCTTCACCTCGCCAGAGTTTTAAGTGCGTTCCACCAACTTCAAATACCGACAGACAGCTAGATAGATAGACCTATTGTGGGTCTTATCAATGTCGGGCAATTTGGTGCAACAACAAAAAATATATAAATTTAACTCTTTGTGCACTTTAAATACAAGCAATGGTTTTTGCATGTTTACTTAACCATCTAAAAACGTCAAATTGTATTGTTTAATTGAACGACAAATATTAGTCAAATGAACAAAATGAGAATATTTGTTCATTTGATAAACAGTGTCAGGCAATTTGGTATAGTGGAAGTTTCACTGTGGAACACACCGAAAACAAACGGCTACCTGAGCTTATATACTTCTATCGTAAGCCAACTGAGGCGAGATGTAATAACATCACGTGATCAACACCGTCTAATGACGAATTTTAAAGTAACATTTACATTTTGTTTAATGAACAAATTTAATGTTTTGGATTTAAAGAGCAACTAAACGTTAATTTAATAGTTTTTTTAGGTAATCCTAAAAATTTCAGTATTTGATTCAACCAATTCCAGCTATTAAATCAAAATAGGATAAACATTTTAATTCAAAAAATTTATGTTAAATTAATATTTTAACTGTCAAATGAACAAATAAACTTTGACAAACTCTGACTATTGCTTTGACACCAAAATATAGATTAATCCAATAGGTTTTTTGATGAAACAACATTTTTAAAAATGACATTTAGGCAAACGTTAACTCAACTACATTATTTTTTTCGGTGTACTATGCATTTTACATAACATAGCAAATCAAATTACAAACAACTTTTGTAAATTTGAGATGCTTTGTATTGGAAAGTGTCAAACTGTTTGGTAAAATTACAATGGGTGTAGGATTTATACATTTAGATTGTAAAATTACAACTTATCTTAGTAGATTTCCCAACATGCCTTGGAAGATTACTCAAATTGTATTATAGTTTTGTATTGGTATACACTGATTTGTAATTTTACTCATACTTTGTTTTGCAAAACAATTGTAATTTTACAAAAAAATTTAACAGTGTACATAATTAAAATGATATATAGTAAAAATGCAAACAGAAGTTGTATAAAATAAATAATGATTTGTATATTTCCAAACACTTATTGTAATTCAAATAGCAAATTTTGGTTAGTAATTTGGTTAATTATTTAAGTAAAATTAAATCCCGAATATGTATAGAAATTTTACAAAATTTAAAATTCAATTCTAAAATACAGAATTGTAAAATTACTATAAATATCTGACAAAACAAAAACATTGTAAAATTGGAACCTGTTTAGTACTTTGGCTATAACAAATTGTAATATTATAACTAAAGATGGGATATTTAGGTACTAAAAACTGAAAAACAGGTAACTAAAAAAAGCATTTTAGGTAAAAAAAACATTAAAAGTTCAAGTTTCTTTTATTTTTATAAAATAAGTATCGAACATAAAATATTTTTTTTATAAACTGACCAATACTTAATTAAAGCTATAATAATATATGAAAATATAACAAGGAATACCTGATATTTACCAAATTTACTACTAGAGTAACAAACAGATAGCTAAAATGTATATAAATTAAATAAAGATGTT